TCTCTCTCTCTCTCTCTCTCTCTCTCTCTCTCTCTCTCTCTCTCTCTCTCTCTCTCTCTTACACACACACACACGCACTTGTGCAATTGCTAGAATTACTGAGCACAACACTGGATAACTAATTCCTGCACAACTGACTTGCCACTTGCCACCAGGCATGACATAATAGCACTATTTCAAACTGACCAAACCACATCCAGTTACTCAAGGCAGGAAACTGGACGTCGGACAGGCTAGAACAGAACTATTTCAACCTCCTAGAATAGAGAGAGCTAGACGTCACAAGAACAGAATAATTGAGCACTGGGGAGGAGGGCAGAGGAGCTTAAGGTTTTAGATAAGACAGGTGGAGGGTGGAGATGCGAAACACAAAGCCTAGAGGTGGGAGGAATACCGACATCATTACGATAATCTTCTCTTCCTCCTGTTGTTAGATGATGGATGCCCTAGGCTATTTCTCTACAATAGCAATCTTTGGACGCGTCGTTCTAACGACATGGCTCGTTTACGCTTTCTCGGCCAGCCTGTTTATGGACCAAACGTCCAGAATGCCGGGCGGAATAGCGTTGTCTGTTGCCGCCCTGACAGCCGCTTTCGCGACAGCCGTCGCCTTGACGGGGGGCAGCAATACGGAGCCAACAATGGGGAGGTTACTTGTCCAGGTAAAGGCTCTAGAGCGCATGACAGCCTCTAAGGGTCCGCCAATTACACTAAGGGGCACGGTCAGATTGCCCACGTTCCGGTTTCCGTGAATGAACCCCGGACGCAAGATGATCCCTCCATAAGGGAACTTAGACCTCACTGCCTCCTCTGCTATCCGTTTTCCCTCGTAGTAGCCGCGAAGTATGATGGCAGGGACGGAGAAGTAATGCGCCGAAATCAAGACGAAACGTTTGACATCTTCCTCGGCAGCTGCCTGGACCGCCTTTACGTTGGCATGACCATTTATCCGTCGCATCTCATCGTTCGTTCCAAATCCACCGATGCACGACACCACACCAGAAGCATCTCTAAGCTGCATCCGCCAAACATCAGGATCGAAGACGTCGCCTCGTACCCATTCCACCTCCTTCAACCAAGGCTCCTGCCTCGCTGGCGGCCCCGACCTGTTCACGCTTGTCACGTGTATGCCTCGAGACAATGCTTCGCGACAAATATGACTCCCGACGAACCCGTTGCCGCCAAACACAACCAGTTTGTTGCGATGATAGTCCGAGTTCTCCTCACTCTTCTTTTGCTCATCCACAGTCTCGGCTTCCCGTGTCACAGTTGCATCATCTTCGTCGTCGATCTTTTCTTTCCCAGCGCCTGATGATGACCCCGATGATGAAGGCGATGCTGATAACGATGACGAGTGCAGTGCCCTCGATTTCTGGCCACAGGTTCCAGTGACAGCTAATGAACCCAGAGAGCAGTTAGGATTCCTCAACCCCGATGACGACGACGTAATCGAAGTTCTGACAGCTCCAGGCTCGACAACGTGTCGCACGTCTCCCCACTGTGCCTGCCACGGGGAAGATGCTTGCCGCCTCTGCAGAGGGTAAACCATCGCAAAGGATGAAGTCGCTGTCGTTCCTCCAGCAGGTCTTGACCCAAGGCCCGGTCTCTGCTGCCATCCCAATCCGGCTTCCCTAACCTGCTTCCGATCGCCCACCACACCGCCCGCACAGCCGGAGGGCTCGACCGATGACGTGGACGGTTTCAAAGTATCGCCAGCAAAGTTGCTGCTGCCCGTACTCAGAGTCCGTCCTGTGGCTGCTACGACTGTCCGTGTCAGCGTACACGATAACACATCCGATCCTGCTGGCTTAAGGAGCACCGCAGGTTCGTCGGCAAGCACCACAGCCGCCCTCGTGAACACCGATCGGCCTTGCAAGCCAAGACGAACGACATTTTGCAGACCATTGTAGCGGCGCAACGTGCCTGAAACCGAGAAGCGGCTCGCCATCTCCGTCACCAATCTCCGTGACAGCTGGCAACACACTTTTGCACGCCGTCACCCTTCGCCGCACCCCCTGAACTTACGGTAGACCGTACGGCACCGCATATCACAAGGTAAGGACAAACAGACCTGTGTGTCCCAGAAGGCACCAGCAGCAGGAAAACTTGTGTCACGGACTCAGCAGAAGAACTTATCGAAGTCAATAGACAATCTTGCAATGTGTGAACTGTGTTCAATTGCACAAAATTCTCTCATCAACACTCAAAAAGTGCTTTCCATTCAACCACAACAGTGCAGTGGATATTGGATCAGACCAAAAATGCAGGGAAGTCTGCAATAGAGATATCAGCTGCACTAAAAAAAAGGAAGAAGAAGAAGAAGAACTCAGCTCTGCTCGAAAGCATTCATTTCCAAATACAGATGCATAAGCAATGAACTTGAATAAAGTTTCAATTCAACCAAGTGTGCAACACAGATAGAAAAGTCATTCGAGACATCCGTTAAAATTGGAACGATACAGAGAAAGAAGATTAGCATGGCCTCTGCGCAAGGATGACATGCATAAATCGACATATGGTCCAAATCTAGGCTACCAGCCGGGCGGCCCGGCCGTGCAAGGACTAGGGAAGG